ATATCCTCATCTTGCCGCTTATCCGTTGAGCTCTCCAAAGCGCGTTGTGCCCATGCCCGAAAGCAGCTACTGCTCCCGGGGTCAAGCAAGCAGGCTAGGAGGAGGGTGACGAGATGCCGGAGAATATTTGCTGTTACAAGGATCTTTGGAATAGAGCCGAGAAGGACTGAGTGGAAGGCAAACGCAAGGCTTGGTTAATGCAGCGTTCCAAACGGTGCAATGCATCCACCATGGGGGTACCGCCAGGGTAGATCACAAGTGATAGTCCCTCCGGTCCTACAGGGGACTTTCCCCCGGGCTTTTGGCAGAAGGACAGGGGGACTATGACCCCACTATAGGTTGATATAATGTCTTAGAGGTGGGGCACCACAAGACCGCCCGGGAATCGCTCGGGGAAGCCAACCCGGGAAGTCCATGGGGCTTGTTCAAAACTAGACAGAACCAGTACAGCTTCTTCACTTCCATTAGGTGGTATAATCCCCCCCCCCCAATAGCTACAGCCCATGAGACCTAAGCCAGTAAATGAATGCACAACTTATCACATACCCGTCCAAACACCTACGGTGACCCCTTATACAGCCGAGTAAGGATTTGTGAGTTTTTGTTTATATCATAATCTAGAGTTTGGCGCTTGTTGGTTGCTATTTCTATTGCATTGACAAAAGCCAACGCGATTAAATTTTCCATGTTATTACTTAGTTTTATTGTTTTCTTCCGGCTGTATAGTAGATGCTCCTTGCACATTTGTTCATTCATTTTTTCCTACAATCACTTTCCCCCTCTTTCCTCCCAGAAGCGCAGACTCGGGGATTGTTTCCGTATTAGAGGGAAGAAAAAATTACAATACAGACGCGAAAGCGAGCCGCTAACCAAGATGCGATGACGATTGGCCTACACCGCAAGAATATGGTTTAGTGCGGACCGCGTTTACGTGCCACTATCCCCCAGGCCTGAGCTTGATAGGTGTTGGACGGGAAGTTGATGTGAAGGTTCTTGTTCATTTTCAGGAGCGAGCCTGCTAACTAAATAGACTAACTAACATGTGTGCGCGCATCCATGGGTTTACCCTTAACATAATCGTACAATGTCATCAACACAACCAGGGTGGTTCCCCGTACTCTGCAATACTCAACAATAGGGAGGTTGAAATGCAGTCCTTACTCCCTAGTCTTGCCCGCCAAAGGGAATTAATCCAGTAAGGAGTCTTTCGTACTTCAATTCGAAATAAACTTCAGTTCTGCGCACACCGCAAAAAAATCGCAAAGATTTCTATGCAGCTAAATGCGTCTTGCGGTGAGCGGCAGGATCGGGAAAGAGTTGATTTAGAACGATTAATCCAACCAAACTTGGGTTTTTTTGGGGGTAAGCAAGCTCGGAAATTGGGAGTAATTTAGAGTCAAGGGAAGAAATCGAGAGAGAAAATTAAGAATGAAAAGATCACACCTGCCAAAGTGACCCGCACTTGATTTGTCGAGTGACCGGTTGTGATAGTAGCACTAAGATAAAAGCGTGTATAATATAGTTCATGTTTATTTTGGAGTAATCCCAATAGAAGGGGTCGAAAGTGCGGGAGCAGCAAAAGAGGTGGAAAGGGGAATGGGGATGTAGAAGGGAAGAAGGGAAAGAAGGGAAAGCGGTTCTCGCATAACTATCCCTTCATGAACACAATATTTTGCCAGAACTATATGATGTATAAAACATCTTAACCTGGGTACAGGAACTCGCCTTCCAGACCCCTCTAAGAAATTAAAGAAATAAAAAATCCAAATCCCATAGGCTGCTCAAACCTTGTGCGCAACATCGTCCAAACAATGATACGGGGAACACCCCGGCATGATACCCACCGGGCGGCAGTGTTAGTGGTGACGGGGTGGTACCCCTAAAACTCAACCTGACCAGTCACCCTCGCTGAAAAGTCATGACAGATTATGGTATTGAGAGGGTTAGGGCCTTCAGAATGGGTGGGGATTAAGAGGGCTCGCATCCCACTGGGAGGCTCGGTTAGTAGGATGCCAAGCTTCTTAATCCCCCCCGTCACCCCCCGTCACCCCTTCTTCCTGACAAGGCATTTGGCCCTGACGGGTCCTCGCAACACTGCCGGGCGGTACTCCCCAACCACACAACTGAAGCCGCCAGCACAACATTATACTCGGGTGCCAGGGTTAGACCGCGAACAGCAGGGGGCAGAGAATCTTACTACGTAAGGCATAGTTATATGACAAGGGGGAGGGGTTGAAGTTGATTTTGAAAGAAATTCTGCGAACGCTTCTTATTTTTTGATTGGTTAGAGTGTATACCCTATCTATATACATGAATTCTCGCCTCTTCAAGAATGTAGTGGCAAAATCAATTGCCACCATCCACCCTAAAGCCATATTCACCTCATATTCAGAGTCTTTCTGCAACATTGTCATATCGCAGGCCTGGCAGCCAAAACCAAAACGAGAGACCGAGAGAGCCTGATCCTCAACTATGCTACCATTGCGCCAATTGGAACCTCAGGCTTTACTGCGATTGACTGCCTCAAATCATGATTTGGACACTGGCAATTGTGTTCAAAATCATATTGAGGCAGATCAATCTTCGGACAACAGCTCTAACAAAGAGCAAAGCGGAATCTCACACCAGGCCAGAGTACCACTCTCCTATCGAGATCAGGTTCGCATCCATATGCTAATATACGATGCCGGATGGCCATATCGAAAGATTGCACAAACTATTGCCTGTACACCTTCTACTGCTTGCAAAATCGCTTATCAGCCAATTACCCCAGAAAGGTCCAGAAGGGGACGCCCAGAACTCTTGTCAGCCGAGGATCGAAAACGGCTGGTTGAGCTCGCTACCTAGTCAGCTGAAAACCGTTGCAAGCCATTTTGGGAAATTGCCCTAATGTGCAGTATAGGTACGTCCGAACCGGTATTGCGTAAAGCCTTTGCGCAAGAGGGATACTATCATAGGGTAGCCCAGAGAAAGCCATTTCTCAATGAGAAGGCTAAAGCTACATGTTTGCAATGGTGTTTGCAGCATGCCAGCTGGACTGTGGGAGATTGGATGCAAGTAATATGGACTGATGAGGTATCTTTTGTGGTTGGAGGGGCTAGAGGATGAATTTGGGTGACCCGGAAGGCTGGTGAAGACTATGATGATGCATGTCTTGTTCCAAAGTTCAAGAAACTAAAAGGTTTGATGATTTGGGGATGTTTTATAGGACCTAGACTAGGTCCATTAGTATTTTGGGATAAAGATGAATGGGGGAAAATCATGGCTGCCTCTTACTCTCGTTATATTCTCCCTATCCTGTATGATTTCTGGTATCGGAATTCGGTTTCCTCAACAGGCCTTTTCGCACCAGCAGCCTTTATGGAGGATGGCGCCTCCACCCACCGTGCCCAATACACGACTACTGTTCACACCCTCTATGGATTCCAGCCATATAAGATTATATGGCCCGCGAACTCTCCTGATCTAAATCCGATAGAGGAGCTTTGGCAAAGAATGAAAGATCGTCTATTTCAAGCCAATAAAGAGGGGGTACCGAGGACTGTTGAAGCTACAAAGGACGTTATCAAAGAGGTTTGGGATGATATTGCCTCAGGTGATGAGCTGGGTAGGTTGGTGGAGAGCATGCCAGTGAGGATTCGGGCTGTTATTGTGGCAAATGGGGGTCACACCAAGTTTTAGCTTTATTTCCTCTTTCAGCTAGCATGTAAAATTATTCTTACCTGTATTTAGTTAGTTTTATAAAGCCAAATCCATGCTGTTCGCGGATTTTCCATTCCCCCCGAGTACTATAGCCTATTCCAGCGTCCGCAAGTCGCTAGTCCAGCCAAGCCTTTGGCCTGACTAGCCCGACCTGGAACTCCCCCGGGGCCCGCCCGACCCACATACCCGGACTACAAATACCTCCGTGCCCCAAACGATCAGACAAGATTCCTCCCCTTTTGCCGAATTTCCAGGACGCCCGCGTAGCGACCGAACGTCCTTAAATCCACCCACCTCAAGCATTGGGAAAGGATAACGGTTAAGATCCCAAACGCCACACATGTTCGGAAAGGTGCCCTCAACTGCCACAGCACACCGGTTGGGTAAGATTAGATCGTATGATAAGAGTTTTTTTTTTAACCACTATACAATCGATCCATGATACCGAGAGTTAAGAAAACAGCGCGGAGGACAGATGACAAATCATCTCCCCAAAGGTCTATCTGTTTGAAAACCGGATATCCGTATATACGCACTGCCTTTCTCCCAGTGACGATTTCCATTACCACTTGCGCACTATGCCGAACAACATGTTACCAGGAAGCTGCGACGAGGGTCAAAGAGCAAGCACAATATGCGGTATAGGTTGGCGAGGTGCAGTGCGGACTGTCGGTCGCAGATAGTATCGGTGTACCCTGGAAGATCCGGTCCTCTGCTGTCCCAATGCCCGAACTTGCTGTAACTCTGCTGCCCGCCATAGATCGCATAACCAGCCCCTAACCCCCTTCTCTTATGCTTCAACTCTACTGCTTTATTCCATCATGTGCTGCCTGTTCGGCATCCCTTAACCCTCGGTATCGTGGAGTAAATTGTACCATACAGTATCATAGTCAAAAAAAAAAAACCTCCACCACGAGCTAACCTTATCCAACCCGTCTTGCTACGGCACTTGAGGGTATTTTTTTCTTTTTCTTTTCGAAAACCCCGTGGCGTTTGTGACCTTGACCGAATGGATAGTCTCGGTTCCTGATATGTATACCATCAGGGACAATGTGAACGAAATCGACACCAGAATTCGGAGTAGCCGCCGGAAATACCTCCGCATAAAACCCCGCGAGACCAAAGTTTTCACCCCAGTGTTATCCATATAATACCGGTACTGTACCGTGTCCGGACCTACGAGTGAGATTTCATGTATCAAACCTCACCGAAATTACAAGGCATGAATGCTCGGCTGCACAATCACAGGGGCCAAACGCTCAAGCCTCAACACAAACACAAATACAGTTAGCGGAAAGTACGATAGCCCCACCCGATCTACTTGTATTATTCTGGAGTACACGACCGACACTACGCCGTAGTCTACAATCGCTCACTAAATGCGCGATTAACCAGTCTGAAGGAAACGAAGAGAAATGGCTAAAAGGTAAAGAAAAGAAAAGAAGAAAACTCCGGAATAGCCCCTATTAGAACCATGTACAGTTTCCGCCTCAGGAGAAAAATAATAAGCAACAAAAGAAATTAATAGGTAATTTCATTTCGTTTCAAGCCGAGCGAACCCGAACGATGCGGTTACACAGGAGCAAGAAAATAACCGCATCCGCATTACATGCCTATCACACTTGCGCGCCAGCGGGAGTAGTGGCCGAACTAACAGTGGCAGGCACCTCAGCAGCTGTGGGCGGAGAGTCTTCTCCGTGATTGTGAAGCTGTTCCCCGGTAAGGTAGACCTCGTCAATAATGCTCTGCTTCCAGGAGTCCACTAGGATTTTCCAAAGATAGCATAATCCGACGAGGAAGAAGATTGCAAAGACCGCAGGGTAACTGTAACGGTATATTTGGCTGATCTTTCGTGCGGGGGCGTTTCTGACTACTTGTTCGTCAGTATGGAGCTATAATAGGAATAGTGTGGAGGTAAGAAGGGGAGCTCACGGAAAGTGTTGGCTGCAATGGAGCCAAGACCTAGGGGGAGTAGTAACGCCACGAGCATAAAGCCGCCGGCAGGAGCGATAAAATGTTTGGTCGCAAGTTTGACGTCCGGGTCTAGATAACCGCGTGCGACCACATCCCGCAAAGACCGCGCCCAGGCACTATCTCTATCCACTAAGAGCATTCGACCCATCATCTTGATGTAGAGAACCCCAAGCGTCCAGTCTTGGATAAAGTGGATTACGTGTTGGTCATCGTTAGAGAAGTAGGTGTGGATGGGAATGATAACATAGAACTCTATCATCAGCGCCAATAACGTAGGGAGTACAACGCCGAATGCTGTAAGGACATATGAGATTTTGGCAACGCGCACAAGCCATTTGCTCATTGCCCACCAGAGGCTCTCGCTTTCCCTTGCAGCACGCATTCCCCTCCTGATGAAGCTCCTTGCCAATTTCCATTTCGCCCCAGCATATACAAAGGCTCCAATAATGTAAATCCCGACACTAAAAGCGTAAATATCATTCAGTTTAATGTTCGGGGGCACTAGTTGCTTCAGTACGGTCCTCCCAAGAAGCAGCGGGCCGATGGTTACTCCAATGCCTGTAAAAGCGGCAAACCCCCAAATGGCCAAGACAAGGAGCCCGATTCGTGTCTTGAACCAAGGCGGGAGATAGACAAGTTTAAAATCAGAAGGATTTAGGCCATTTGCTAAATCAACAGGGTCCTCTTCATCAAGGCGAACATTATCCTCGGTCACAGGAATGAAGACCCTTCTCCCCTTGGGCCTTCGTACAGAATCCGATGCCGGTGCTCTGACATATCTCCCGTCTCTTTGAAAATAAACCTCCACACCAGCTCCCCTAGTTTCCTTCAGGGCATCTGCTTCGATTATCGGGTGGTTGACATCTCCATTTTTGCGCAACAGACGAGCAGCCCAGCCTTGCCGAACATGGTGCCCCTCCTCATCCGGCGTCCTGTCCCCAAACATAAAGCTGGTCAACCTCAGGAAGCGGGCACACCTCCTAAACCACCATCCGTACATCTTCTGTAGCCCGTCCGATGGCTTGACAAACTGGACCGCGAAAGGCACAAAGAAGTTGTAGAACAACAAATCCACGGGGAATTCGAGTACAGGCTCATTAGACGACCAATGGATGGGAAGCGCAGATTCAGTGACCAGATATAAAGACCAGACTACCCCTCCCAAGCAAACAATTACCAGAACGCCATAAATAAGCGCACTGAACGCTATTTTTCGCAGTTGCATCATGACAGGCCTATCAAGTACGTCCTTTACCGGGTGAAAGTTTGGGTCATCGGGATCTCTGATGAAATCTTTTGCAGTGTTAGCTATATCCCACCAATAAGTAGATTTTTACAACTCACAGAGCACACCCGATCTCATAATCTTCCGGCACATTGATACAAAGAGAGCAAAATGGAACATATAACATGTCCCAACAAACCAGTGCACAAAGACGCTTGTCAAGGGAAAGTCGGCAAAAAATTGGATCCGTGAGAGGATCGTGGCTTCCTCGAACAAAGGTAAGAGCGCGAAATCTAAATAAAAATAAAAACAAAAAAGTGTTAGCACCCACAGAGCGAATCACAAGGATGGAAGCTCACCAAGCAGCAACCCGCAGTAGAGAGGAAATACAAGCATCTCAATTCCTATGATCAGCACTACCTTCATCACTCCTCCAGCCTGCAACAGTAACTCAACAGCAATCTTTTCCACCACTCTACCATTTAGAGCAAGACCTCTCTTCCTAGCGTTTTGAAGATAGAGCATTCCAACGATGGTGAAAAGCGCATACCCAATAAATACTGCAGTGACTCGATCCCATACGCTCCAAATGTACACGGGATGTAGCGGAGGGAGACTATCGAGAGAGGTATCCTGGGCAGTAGTGTTTGTAGTATTTTGTGGAGTTTGAAAAAGAGCGGCAATAACTTTTGAAAAGCCAGAACTGAACAATGCAACCGGTGTTGAGTTGTTGGCACCACTGTCTTGGAGAAACGAAAGTGGGTATGTCCGATTAGTTCCAAATCCTAATTTCTCTATTGCCCAACTAACTCCAAGTGAGGCTCTCAGCCATCCCTGCCGGGTTAAAGCAGACACCGGCGGGGCACCGGTTGACGGAAACGTTCTCAAGTCGATATAGATCGACTTGAGATTAGCCATTTTCTGTGTTACCCTGCCCTGGCCGTCTAGGGCTAACCGCCTAAGGATGTCGGATAAGAACAAGCACGAGGAAACCCCTGAGAACACAGGAACAACACGTTCAATCGGCCTGAACAGGAAGCGCATGATCTGCTCCACAACCAATAAGAGCGAAAAGACAAGACATGTTGAAAATTCGACGGCAAATTCTGCGACGAAAGAGACTACAGTGGTGGGAACCTTGATGAGGAAAAAGATAGGGTTTGCCTGGCGAGTATTGTTAGAAAGTCAAGATTGATCTTGTACCGTGGAGTGTGTCCCATACCAGAATTATCATAACGATTTTTCCCATGACATACGGGACGGCAACACCAAGTGCTACAGTAGCTGTTATCAACACAACACTAATGGCTGCATTCTGGAGCAATCCAGCCAGTGGTCCTCTCATCCCGATCAACTCCATGATACCATCAAAATCATCGGCAGCATCTTCGTCAGCTATCGCTTGCTGAGCATCCGGGGGCAATTCAATACCAGGCCCATCAGCGACTTCGTTATCTTCGGCATCAGTACCATCGTCGGCGCCATCCTCGGTCCCAGTGTCGCCCTCTGCTCTCCCTTGCGCAACTTCTCGCGCAACGACTTCATCCCTGTTCCAAACAAACGGCTGATGTGGCTGACGTGGGATAGGCGCTTGGGCAGGTACTGGAGCCCGGATAGCGTCAACCTCTAGACCTTGCGCTTCAAGTGACCCAGCTGTAATATGCTCCCCGACCTCATGTCCAGCGTTCTGAGCATCTGGGTTGGACATGCCCTCCGCCTCATCATAATCCTGGGAGATACCCTCCCATAGCCCAATACGAGCCGATTCATCACCCGCACGGCTGGTTAAGCTAGAATGATCTGGTAAAGAACCGCCAGTTGTTGGAGTCGAGGGGAGGGAAATCGACGGCGGTGAGTATTGAATGGCATCAGGTGTTGGAACCCTAACCTTGATAAGATCCGACCTTGGCTCGAACGTAAAATTGTGGCGACCCGCCATTGCAAAATCGAAAGAACCCGTCGCAGGCGATCCGTAATAGGAGGAAAGATCAACATGGGCAGATGGTCTCTCGATCTCTTTCCCCTTCCCCTTAGGATCGACCATGTCATCCTCCTCTTCCTCATCTTCCCACTGATCTTCATTATCGGTTGAATTCTCATAAAAAGGTGACTCGGGTCGTTTCCCTTTATCGATTTGGCCCTCCACGGGAGCCGAACCTGGACTCTCGCGGACGGCAGCAATTTTGGGTGACTTATTGCCAGAAAAGTTATGCAAAGGCCCCCCCCTGCCCATAGGAGCTCCCACATCAATATTGCTTCTATTAAAACCGACAGGTGATGGTGTTCTACCGAATCTTGCCGGGGTTCGACTCCCACTAGAGTTACCACTCTCGGGGGTGTATACAGGGGACGGAGTTTTATCGCGGCCGACAGATGGAAACTCAATTTTGCAAGTAGCCAATGTACCAAGGCCTCGGGAGCTGCCATCAGGAGCCTCAGTCCTCTCCTCCATTGCTCTCCGAATCTCTGTAGGCTGTGACATCGCTTTACGGTTCACTCGAGGGCGCCTCGAGCTCTCTCCCAAGTCCCCCAACCTAGGAGTAGCCGGTTCGGAACTTCCGCCACCCAAAAGATAACCCTGACCATAATTTTTCTGAGCGGGCCGATCTCGAACAGGATCCACTCCTGCGTTAGCTACAGGTGCAGCCTCGGGAAAGTGTCTTGGTCTCCTTGGGCGGGCAATAGCTCTGGGAGGCTCCCTGCCGGCCCGGCCCGGCAGAGCACCACCTCTAAATTGCTCAGGTGCTATTTCATGCTCACCCGCAATGCGATCTTGTGGTGGTGGGTTCATTTCAGGCAATTGAATATTCTCAACCTGAGGTGCTTGAAGCTCATCCAACTGCTGTAGCGCTACAGCGCCCCCTAACCCAGGTTGCTGCTGGACGACCCATTCACGAATCAGAAAGATCAGGATGAATGATATGACTATTAGTGCCGTCAATAGTTGACCCTCGAAGATATCCACAATAACTCCGTTTACAGCAGGATATCGAGTAAAGTTGTGGAACGGACTTGGATCGATAAACAGTCCTCCGAGCCGAGCCCCAATGGAGATGGTTGCATTAGAAGCAGTAGCATTGATGGCAGTGGTGGCGTTGGCTGTTACCTTGCCCCCATTGACCGGGCTCATCACCAGCCCAGACAACAAAGGAGATCTAAGAAACCCTATGATACCACTGCCAAAAGCCGAACCCGTTAAATTCATAACTGCACTTGAAGCCGGAGGTGTCCCATGCGAATTTGTGAGGGGGGTTGTAGTTGGCAAAGCCGTCCTCGCACGATTGTATGCTTGATCCGCCCACCATCCACCATCGCTCAACCAGAACCACATCCTCCACATCCACCTAACACAATATGGTAATCCGCCCAGCCACACGCAGCCAACCAATAGTGCTCTTGCCCACAAAAGGAGATTTCTGAGAAGATGCCTAAGTAACTTATCTAGGAACAGCGGTGTCGGAATAGTAGTTGGCATATGAGGGTGGTAGAGCTTTGTAAAATGAAAAGGAGTCTTGCAGAGCTCGCAATGTTTCTTCTGGGAATGTTGCAACCACTCCAATAAACTACAACACCAAGAGAATGTCAGTTCACAATCCTTCAGCACCAAAAGAAACGGGTTCGCGCAGGGCCGCGATTTTGTAACAGGCAGAATGACATACCAGTCCTGGTGAACGAATTTGATGGAGCCGCTACACTTGCAGGGATGAAACAAAGGCTCCTCCCTCGACCCCTCAGAGCGACAAATCCGACAATGATCCGGTTCGCCATTGTCGTTCGAACCGGAAGCCGAAGGTGAATTATAGGCGGGGTCGTTCATAATGTCCACCTGCGGGCCTGATCCCGAAGCCATAATTACGGTGAAGTGAAAACTAGAAGAAAGGTTGCGAGGAGAAAAGAGAGAAGAGAAAAGAAAAGAAACAAAGGGAAGATGAAGAGTGTAAAGGAATAATGTGCCCGCAGAGCTGGAACGGGTGCCCTTAGCGTTTATTAGAAATAGCCGGAGAGGTTCAAGGCTACCGGTAAGTTATTGTATTGGAGCTCCAAAGTTCGGGGTGGGGAGGGAGCAGGGTGATGACGATGATGGCGACGAAAACCGAGAATGCAACGACTCGCGCCACAACAACCAGCTGAAAGTACCAGTATCCAAAGGCACGCGCAAATACGGGTACTCGTAGAGGGAAGCTTCCCGAACAAAAGCCGGGGGGTTACCCGGGAGAGTGAGAGAGGGGAGGTGAATTACAGTATGGTGGGGGGAGAGGGAGGGTGGAGGGCAATACCGGTAGTGTAAGGTGATGATGGCCGCTACGGGAGCGGGGACAGAGATGGGATGGCGGGAGGAGGGAGAAGACCTGGTACTTGTACGGTGGGAAAGCCGGCCAGCAAAGTACGAGTACAAGTAATAAGTTACCAATACTATTATTCGCGAGTTTTCGTTTCGGGGTTGGGGCAGGAAAGGAAGGGAGGTAGATGTTCTCAAAGCAAGATACGATAGAAAGAGGTTCAACAAGTCTGTATCGTATTTCCTAAATACGATAAAGGAGTTTCAATGACAGGCGGAGTTATCTCTGTTTGTCTGTCGCCTGCGTGGCATCATCCACGGTTTCATGCATAAATGTACCAAAGGGCGGAGTATCCTCAGTAACGCATGATACGGTACAAGGGGGGTGTTGAAGCTGGATGTTCGCGTGGAAGGAATAGGGTACGGTAAGGGGAGAGGAAAACGTAAATTCCGGGAAGAAGGCTCTGAATGACGAATGACGAGGTCTAAGTAGGCCGCCCGCGACCCGCAACACGCACCCCCCCTTGCTTGCAGTGCTGGCTTGGCGCAAATTCCCTGTCGGTACTCGTAACTCATGGAATGAGATCGCATCAAATGCATGAGTGACTGGTGAAAACAACCTTTAAATGCCAAGACATTGCACATTACCGCCAAACTTTCCCGAGAATCAAGTATCGAGCCCTGGCAACCTACAATATCTGGGATTGGATCAAGTTTTCCATGCACCAGGCAATCTATAAAGTGTTCGGACGCTTGGCGCCAAGACAGTTACTAATAATGTTCCGGTGTCCGAACACTTTATCAATGGTTAAGTTCCGTACGGCACTAGCAGAAGCACCCAGAGAGATGTTTTCGCAGAGCGCAGGGGGGATTGTTGTGCTTCTGGTGCGCCCCTCAACAAGCACAGTACGATGCCGTGCCAGTTCTCGAGTATTCGGAAGTCTACGGTAGCCCCGAGGGCACAGAATTCCCGGAACGAGGAGGAAAGGTCGGCCAAGAATACTATTATACTATAGTAATGCACAATCTGCACTCCTCACACATCCACCTATTACCGGTACCGGTATTTCCGGTATGCTGATGGTACTATGAGTACCGGCATGATAGCTTCTTCCCTGATTGGAAAAATGAGTTAGGAGCACACCGATACGAGTAGTACACGAGTACAGTACGGTACTGGCGCAAGTGGGATAGGAGAAAAGAGAAAAAACAAACAAATAAGCGAAGGAGAAACAGGGTAGGACAGTCTCCATAGGCTTCGAAAGCTTCCTTCCTCTCTTTCCCCCCGTTCGAGCTCCCTGCGTTCCAGCTGGTTGCTTGCTTGTTTCCCTGCTGGTCTGAGGCCCGCACCAAGCAAGGTAAAGTGTGCCCGCCATCAAAATAAAGCAAAAACCCATGACATTACATCACCTCCGAAACGGCTATCACACATCCCAAACCACTGGATCATTCCTGCTTCTCTCACAGAAACTCAAGGCAAAAGGCCACCCATATTACCCTATGCCCCCGAGGTAGACAGTACATGAATCAGGCCTCTCTCCCATCGTCGTCATCATCATTACAATCACCCTTCCTCCATCATCCCCACCTCCATCTCCACACACCCGTACCGTATTTAACGAGAGATTTCCTCCTCCATTCCTGCCATCTCTCTGCCTACACTGCACTGCATCCCAATCGAATCCAGCGACTGCCTGCATTCGGGAAAGAGGAAAAAGCACATACGGCACGGTTTTGTGATTAAGGGTACGAGTGGACTACCGGTGGTGCATTCCTGCTATCGTTGCTGTTGATAGACTGGCTACTAATTTACTTATTATAGACTCCGGCAGCTCATCCTCTCGCCTCTGTCCAGTCAAGCTACCGGCTGCCGGTATCCTGCCCTTGTCCGGTCAAGGCAGTTCATAGTCCATGTAGCCTGGCCACCCAAACGCGTTTCATCATAGCCTTCGCCTCTGCTTCTAACTAACCTCAACCCACTCTGCTGGCAGCCGTTTCTCTTTACTTCCCTCTCCCTCCCCTTCCTTTCACATCCGGCTTCTTCTTTTCCCCCATTTTCCTCTTCAACTTCTCCATCTTTATCTTTCGTCGTCTTCGCCTTTGTTGGAAGCTTCAGCGAAAGGTCACCCTACCTCCTCCCCTCCCCCGAGACCCAGCGATTAGAATCGCTAAAGGCTCTGTAATCTAAGAAGAGGGAAAAAGGGAAAAGGGGCAATATGGGTGTAGCGGGTGCCAAGAGGAATGTGAGAGCCCTTCGTCCAACTCCTCGGACGACCGGTGGCGGTTCTACCCTTTTCAATGTCGTTGCTAGGTCAGTCTTTATCCCAAATTCTCCTTAATGGGAAAACCCCTTGGTGACGTGCGGCGCCAAATAACTTACCGCCATCCTAGAATTCTGGCATGGTACACATTATACACCTTATTATTCCGCTGCCCATCAGTGCCAACACACGGTTCCCCTACAATCTGCCACACATCTCATGCTATCTCGAACGCTCTCCGACCGCACCTTGAGCCATACTATGACACCTACGTTTCTCCTTACGTCACCGAATATGGTCCCTATGTGAGGCACGCTAATGAGCACTACATTATCCCTGTCCATAAATCGGCTTCCTCTTCTTACGAAAAGTTTGCTGCTCCTCATGTTGCTCGCGGTCAGGAGTATGCCTCTATGGGGTACAATAGATCGGTAAAGCCTCGCGTTGACGAGGTTTTCAAAAAGGCGAGGGTGTACTACGACGGCTACCTCTCTCCTCATGTAGCTACAGCCAATGAGTTCTATGCTACAGCCCAGCCTTATTTGATCAAGGTCAGGAAGACCGCCGGATGGTTTTATAGAGAGCTCTTGGTACCTGCCTTTGAGCAGAGCTTGCCGTACGTGATCACTGCCTACGAGCAATTAAGGCATATCATTGTTACTATTATTGCTCCTTTGGTAAAGGCCAATGGGGAGAAGGCTGTTGGGTGGGGTATTAATGTATGGAGTGAGGTAGTTGGGCCCCAGGTTGGAATGATCGGAAAACGACTTGGAGGCACCGGAAGCGGGTGAGCTGATATTCTCTCCATATTTCTAATTTTCGTTCTTAGATTTCATTATGCTTTCCTATTTCCATAGAAATTTGTAGACGGTATGCCACGGGGTTTTTAACGATGGGCATCATGGGTCATGTAGAAAGTTATGAGCAGGGGCTCAGAGACACTTTTTCCAGGGACAAGGGCGCTTTTTTCTTCCTCTTCTAATTATGATAGAACATTTGGAAATTCATTCAGTTCGATAACTAATGCATTCTGTTTATGCAGAGTTCCTGTTGCTTCTATCCCGGCCTCGATGTTCTCTTCATTTTCCTCGACCGATACGGTTAAGGCAACCGCGTCCGCGGCGTCGTTGTCCTCTATCATTTCCTCTGTATCCGCGGAAGCTGCGTCTGCCAAGGCCTCGGCTTCCGCGCAAGCAGCCGAGTCCAATGAGAGTAAGACATCGGAGAATGAGGCTCAAAAACCCACAAAAGAAGAAATTCGGGAGATAGTTAAGGCAGACCTTGAGAACTGGAAGGCCAAATTTGGCGCAGCCACCGAAAAGGCTTCTATAGATCTAAACGCACAAATTGACGAAATTACAACCGGGGCCAAGAATAGACAGGAAATACATGTCCAGAGGGAAATCGAGTCCCTTGAGGAATTGATTGAACGCGAATTTAGCTCTCTCAAAAAGGTGGCTCAGGAACTCGCAAAACCAATTGATCCCGGAAATGGAAAAGAGCACCAGCAAGCATCTGAAGAAACCTTTGCCGCTAAATCCAAGAAATCAGGCATCAATATTAGAGACAAGGCCCAGTCAATCAGAGCCCAGAGCCAGCAATTCTTGTCAGAAGTTTACGCCGATGTTGTTAAGGCCGCCGATAATCATTTGGAGGCCTTGGACTCGGTGCTAGATCTCGCAATGCAGGAGCTGGGAATGAAATGGGCCTGGATGGATTATGTCACACACAAAGACTGGAAAAAATATCACGAGCTCAAGAAGGATTTTGATAACCTCCGAAGGAATGTTGTTGCGGCAGCTCAGAAAAACAGAAAGCTAATTGAGACCACCCGCTGGACAGAGCGTAATTGGGAAGGAAAGGCGACAGAGATTGCCAAAGAAGCGGCTGATGAACTTAAAAGGTTAAAGACGGTTTCCAAGAGGAAGATCCAATTGTCTGATCCTAGCGATGATTTTTCCGAATCAACTGTTCCGGTCGCAGCACATAAGGCGGCTCAGGCGATCGTGGGGGAAGCGGGAGGCGCTTCATCTGCAGCGGAGAAATTAATGGGCCAGGCATCGGAAGAAGTGGTTGGCCCCGAGCACTCCACGACGCAAAGTGTGGCTAGTGTTATAATCGAGAAGGCGAAGAGTGCTGTTAATCTCGCTTCGGAAAAGGTAAGAAACTTAATCATCCGAAGTACTCCAAACAACCGTATTAACGGGCAATGCCGGGGAGAAGGCAGCCACAGCCATTCCAGAAGCTGTTCTCGGCGAAGATGAGTCTACTACCGTAACTCCTTCCATCTCCTCCGTTGCTAGCGAGATCAAAGAGACCATCAAGCCAAAGGTTTGGGGCGGTGTATATGCCGGTTTTGTCGCAGATCCTAGAGTAGAATACAATGTCGACGGCGACGAAGAAGGCACCGGCGAAAAAGTGCGGAATGCCGTTGATGCCGCTAGCTCGAGACTTGCCGATGTTTCCAGGGCCGTTTCGGCGGCAATCGCCGGAGCGGCGACCACCCTATCACCGGGTGAGAAGCATGCCTCCGTTGCAAGTGAGAAATACGAATCCGCCGTTAGTGCTGCCTCGAGTGCACTGTATGGGACTCCACAGCCTGGCGGGGAATCGCTTGGCAGTATCGCAACCGACAAGTACTCTGCTGCTGTTGCTGCTGCTAGCAGTGTTATCTACGGGACGCCAACCCCCGGAGCTAAGGCTTTTGCAATAGAAGCCAAGAGCAAGTACGCAGCAGCTCTGGCAGCAGCAGAAGAGAGTTATTCAAGTCTTCTTGCTTCCAGCGCGAGTGCCCAAAGTCAATACGACTATGCTGTCAAACAAGCACAAATCACATATCAATCTGTGATTGATGCGGCCAGCACGAAGGTTCACGGAACACCGCAACCTACAGGTGAAAGCGTGGTCAGCGCTGCAAGGTCTAAGTATCAGGAAGCTCTGAGTGAGGCCCAAAAGACGTATGATCGTTGGTACAATGCAGCTTCAACAACAGTTGGTGAGTGATGATCTATCCCACGGCTCACATAAATCAATGCTTATATTAGCTTCCAGGTACCCCAATCCCTCCCTACCAATCCGTGGCCTCCGCCATCTCCAAACTCGCCGGAAACGCCGCCAGTGCGGCCTCGGAAAAGATTTATGGAACCCCGCAGCCCATCACCGAATCCGCAGCCTCCGTGGTCGGGGAATACGTTGCGCCCGCGACCACCAACGCCGGGCAAAAATACGAGTCCATGAAAGCCTTTATCTCAGAATTAGTCCATGGCAAGGAACCCACGTACACCGAAAGCGTCATGTCCCGCTTCTCTTCCCTCTTCCACGCCACGCCGGCACCATTATTATCTCGTGCCGGCAGCTCCTACAGCTCTGCCACCACCCACCTCAGCGGATCACACGACCCAACCACCAGTACCATGGGAAGCACTATGACTCCCCCACCATCCCTGGAAAGCATAATCTCCTATGCAAACGCCCAAGTCCAATCCGCCATTTCCGTTGCCAGCGAACAGGTCTACGGGCCCACTTACACCCAGGGAAGCGTGGAAAGCATGACCAGCCTCGTAAGCGAAGGATCCTCATCCGCCCGCTCCCGCGCCTCGTCCGCAATCCATGGCCGTGAGACAATAGCCGCGTTTGAATCCGCGAACGCACGCATCAGCGCTGCGATCGAGAGCGCCAAGTCCGCGATTTCGGAAGCGGTGTATGGCACGGAGAAGGGAACCGTCGAGCAGGCCACCAGCACGATCTCGAAGGTTGTGAGTACCGTGACGGGAGCCGCTGCTGCAGGCGTGGGCGATGCCCAGGCGAAGGCTTCGGAAGCGGCTTATGTGTCTGAGAAGGGCTTCGTTGAGAGTGCCCAGCTGAGGGTGGAGGTTGCGGTTGAGAGCGCCAGGAGGAAGCTTAATGAGGTTTTGTACGGATACGCCACCCAGGCCACCGAAGCCGCTGGGAGCGCTTATAGTCAGGCTACCCAGGCAGCTTCCTCTGTAGCGTCGTCGGTTTCCAGCGTCATCATCCCGCCGGAGGCTGGAGCACGCGAGAAGGTTTCCAGCTCAGTTGGCAGCGTGACAGAGAAGGTGGAGGAGGCGTACGAGACGGTTAGGGAGGAGTTGTAAATTTTACTTATCCTTTGTTCGTCTCGGCAAGTCTAAACTCCAAAACTATTTTCTTTTTTGTGTTCCTTATTCGCTTCTGCATTGTTTTAAGTTTTACATCCTTCATCCATCGTAACTACCGTATACTACCAGTGCTCTCTAAGTTTAAGCCATGTATTTTACCTCTTTTTTTCTGTTCTTTTTTTTCTTCCTCCAGGGCATACCTTTCTTATACCTCCAAGTTACGGTCCTTTTGGTAAAGGTAATGCCCACTCAGAAATATGAATTATGGGATGAATATCAGGTCTGCTCCGGTGGGGGGAAGGGGGAAACATGTTAGGGGAAAGTATGTAACCGCAGCATGAGATTTTGTCGTCTTTCAGAAAGGAAATTGTACGCATTACGAATGGATGGCAGTGAACAAGGAATTGGGGGGGGGGGGGTTGTGAAAATTAAGCGTCATAGCGATAACGTTGCGATGGTTATTTCATACCATATTTCGTGAGCCGGCAAAAGTGAAATATATCAAATATTCTACTATCATACTCTTCACGAATCTATCGTCATTTTAACAGAGGTGAGATGAAGAGCACTCGTAATGCGCTTGATGTACTGTACTAGTACTACCGTACTGTGTGTGCAGCGCTTGAACGATACTCGTACATTGAGATGACAGCCGCCGATAACCAAGCACAGCGCTGTACTCGTGTTGTACTGTACAGTACTCGTATTCTACTGTAGACCATGATACCAGTATAGCAGGGTGTGTCCGGTAGCAATCGTGTAGTAGTACGGTAAGTTAATTGGGGCGAGGAAGGGAGCAGAACAGGAAGAGAAGGGAATATAGCCACTAACTTAGTGAGTGATACTCCCAATTATTCCAACCCTCCGATACTCGCATGATCATACGAATACATACAAATGCGGTACGATAAGTATACCGGTTTAGCACCCAAGTCTTAAAAAATCGAAAAAAAGTGATGGTTTGTTTTAAATTTGTCGACTTCGTAATGTACAGGAGTGCACATCAATGTCCAGGGTTTCAAAAGGATGTTTTTCGGTGTCAAATGGAAATTTTCACAAGTTTTCACAAATTTCAATCAAACGCCCACTCGGGCGGAAAACATATTTTCGATTTTCCCCCTTTCAATGGAGATTTTGATCCGCCATCCCGGTCTTTTGTCAGAGCACAGATCAGAGTGGATATATACGCATACATCTTTGAACATCTTCGGAGTGTCTTGACTGACTTCACGCTTCATCCTACAAGTCACCCTTGTAGGGAGACAAGCTGTCACGATTGCCAAATTCCCACGAACGAACGCCGGAGGGAAAGGGTCTCTCGCAATATAATAAATACATGGATAGTTACAATCGATCACAACCCTGTACTTTTCCTCCAGTAAACAGGAATCACTCCGGCCTGCTAAAGCCCCGCTACGAGTAAAGCCCCCCCCCAGCCAGGGCGCGGAAAACGGCAACACCCTGATCGGCAAACGAGTCACGTACGTAAACAAATAAACCCCCGATCTATGAAAACCAGCTCTTGTTGCGACTTTGCATGGAGCAATAGACATGTTCATAGACTCCTTTAGCCCAGCGATCTCCTTATGTCACTATCCTTTCTAACCTTGAAACCTTCATCTAATGGTCCATAGCAGCACTATATCGTACGTTTCTCCATCATATCGTCCCTAGCTGTCAAACGTTTGGCTTGACTGGTCGGCGCAGACGGTTGATTGGGTCCGGAAGGTAAAACGCCATCTGCCCCTTCGGGGCTCTTCGCGGTTTCAACGTAGTTTTATATTTGAAGGCCTTGGGTCAGCGTGGAAAATGCACCACCGACAATTTGAATAGCTTACCGTACTCTAGAAGAAGAAGGAAAACTGCGGTCTGCCATGGTATTAGATGCCCCCAAACATAGGCTCCTGAAGAAACCCCACTATTGTAGAGGGAACTCGGCCAGGTCGAGTAGTTTAGGCAAACGGCATCCCTGCGGTTTAATGAGATGATAAGAGAAAGTCACCGGCTACCGATATGCTGCCTGGTAATTGTCCGGATTGTGGTTGCTCCTTGTTGTTGGATTTTGTATCATGGGCCATGGGGAGTGGGGAGTGGGCATCGCTCTGGATGTGTTTTTCGTGTATGACGTAACTTACCGGTAAAAGCACGGACTGGGGTTTGCGGTTGTGCCCAGCCATTACGAGTGCATTATGATATTATCTGGTGTGATTGTTTAGTCAGCATGTGAGGCTGTTTTAGTCAAGCACACTTTGGTGCGACAAGGGGGCTGTGGGCGGCAGCTATCGATATCGGTATCGGCTAGATGGGAATTTAATAACTTAAAGCTGCACCGCACGGCAGCCCCCGGGGAAAGTGACTGACGCTATTGGGTGAAAAAGGATTGAAAAAAGGATAATTCAATTTACCGGTACGAGTGCTGCGGCAAGACACCACGAGGAAGGCATCTAAAGCACCAACCTTCGGACCCCCATCGTGGGGTACAGTATTGTCCCGGGAGGTCACGGGAAAAACATACAATGGTGCTAATAGAATAATTACGGAACGGTTTTTTTTTTTTTTTTTTTTTTTTACTGCATTGATTTTCTCCCGATTGTCTCGCCTTTGTCCTCTTTTATGAATATCTTTTATATTTTTTACATTTTTATTTTATTTCCGACTTCTCGGGCTCACGTACTCGAGAGTAACCGGTGGTCTACCAGTAAATTACGATAGCTCTGTGCTCGCATGGTACGAGTTAATTACTCGAGTACAGTACTAGACTCTTCTCTCTCAACTGGCGGATCGGATCGGATCGGGGATTAAGTTGTGGTTGGGTCTATGGCGGGCGGGGAAAAATCATATTAAATACTTTTGGCTCGCTCCCTCCAAACAACTGAAGGTCACGGGGTTTCACAACCCAATGAACCACCATCCATCCATCCATCATCCCTCTCTCACACACACAGCACACGCACGCACGCACGCACGCACCAACCTACCGGTACCAACTCACTATCCTCTACTTCTCTTCCTTTCTCCTCTCCTTCTTCTTACTTCTCCTTATCTTTCCCCCCCTTCAACACAAGAGCTCTAACACGTCCATCAATGACCCCTGCACAATCATGGCTTTCAACTTCAACTGGGCTCCCTTAACTACATCAAACACCTCATCCAGCGCCTTCTACTCGCACGCGAAATCCCTACTGACCGCTGCATTGAACAAATCTCAGAAGCCGCCCATCATCGTCGACGACATATTCGTCGAGGAGCTGAACCTTGGCCAGTCGGCCCCCGAGCTGGAGATTCTGGAGATTGGGGATCTGGCGGAGGACCGGTTTCGCGGCATTTTCCGCTTGGGTTATGATGGGGATGCCTTTTTGACGCTGAGGACCAAAGTTCAGGTTTGACTATTCTTTATCGGTTTCCCGTGTTTTGTTGGGTCATTTGATTGTGCTAATGATGATGCGATAGGTGAATCCGCTAAATACTTACCTATCCACCACCCCTTCATATACCTCGCCTATGCCACTCGCTGCTTCTTCTCCCTTGACCATTCCGCTGCAAATCACCCTCTCGCACTTCCGACTGTCCGGCTTTATCATCCTGGTTTTTTCGAAGGCGAAGGGGGTTACGCTGGTCTTCCGTAATGATCCGTTGGAATCGCTCAAAGTCTCGTCCACGTTCGACACCATCCCGTTTATCAAGGACTATTTGCAGGAAGAGATTGAAAGGCAAGTCCGCCGGTTGTTCCAGGAGGAGCTGCCGGTAGCGGTGCATCGGTTATCATTGCGGTTATGGAACCCCGAGTATGCTGCCTCGTTGGGTCTCGATGCTCATGATCCTGACCCGTCTTCCCCGATCGATGGGATCGAGGATGGGAGTGGGGATGACGCGATGGCGGCACTCATAAATCCATTGTTGTCGCCTAGCGACAACTCCGACACCCCGTCCATCGCGTTCTCGCAAAAGAACCTAGTCGCGTTGAAAGAGCTTTCGGAAGCTCAGAAGACGTTGTCAATACGCACTCCAGGTATCTCGGACGCTGTATTCCGAGTATGGGCCTCCGGCGGTGGTAGCAGCTCTGCGGGCTGGGAAAGGAGCGTTGATGCACCCAGTACCCTTATGGGCCCACGAACTTATACATTCTCCGACACCGGCGAGGCGATAAGTTCTGCCGCGAGTATCTCCTCAAGGCCTGGTCTCGCTACATCATCGTCGGTGTCCACCGGAGGAGGGGTATCAACACCCGGCACTCGAACCCGAGGGAAGAAGAAGAAGCACCGGGTTGTTAACCTCCGCCCCACCAAGGAATCTACACATTCAGATCCGGCACCTGATAAACCTACCACATCAACCACGCAGACCACCATCACCTCTGCGGGTCGAAAAGAGGAAGACCTGCCAACTCCGCAAACACCTACTTTCCCTTCACCTCCCCAACCCCAGCTCATCCCGAGCACACCAACCACCCCGACCCCCACCTCCTCTCCATTCTCCCAAGAAGAAAGGGTAGTCTTCGAATCACCAGTATCACCAACTTCACCCTTCGCGGCGGAGAATATCACCTGCTCCCAAACCTCTCCCTCCGAGCACCGCCGCCCACACTTACGCACTGGATCGGCACACTCTTCGGGCATCCTTGAGCAGGCGTTTATGAAGAAACTAGCACATGAAATGCAAAAAAGGATAGAAGAGGAGAGGAGGAGGAGAGGAGTCGTGGGTGGGGCTAGCGGGAAGCTGTGGTGCGAAGTGGAGAGGGAATTGGCGGGCGTGGGGTTGGGGGCGGGAATAGGGGTGGGGATGGGAATGGGAATGGGGATTGGGGGTGTTGGGGCTCCTCCGGCGTATCGCCAGTAGGTTTATAAAAGAGAGGCTTTTTCTCGGGGTCTCCGCTCACTCTTTTGGTTTTTCTTTCTCTGTGGTTAGCGGCTTGTATCGTAGATTGGTGTAGGTGGGCGTTCTTTTTTTATTCCCCACCTGCACTTTTGTTTTAAATTTTCGTTGCGCTGTGTTGGCATCACTCGCCATTTCTTATTCATTCACTCATTCATCAGCCCAATGCCTCCCTTCTTTCTTGTCTCTTCTTCCCTGCTTGTTTGCCCTGTTTCCACATCTACTCCATTTCATTCATTTCTTATGTCAGGGTTAGACGGCTTGCTTATATATATACTACTAAAAGTTGGATTTTTGTTTTTTCCTCTTTTGTGATCTCTGTTTTGCATTTTCGTTGGGACCGCTTGCGTGTTGGCACTTGTCTGGGTTTGGGGAGGGAGGGACGGGGGTTGGGGTTTTGTGGTGTAACTAGGGACTATGAATTCTTCTATCTCGATAATGATATTATCATATTATGATATCTTTGTTCATTCAAGTGTAATACCGTAAAAACTTGAATAATTGGACGGTGTGCTATGTAGTCCAGAATTCTCTTCCTTGGAAAGGGGGGGAAAACACTGCAAAAACACAGCCCCTTTCCCCCCTCCGAGACAGAAAAAAAACAAAAATTTCTTGACCTTACTTAGAGAGGAAAGCCCAACGACATAGCACACCATCCAATTATTCAAGTTTTTACGGTAGTCGGGGAAAGCAAGTGTGACGCCCAACTTTTATTTTTATTTTTAACATTGAATTCTAATAGCTTTATATACACATACTTATTAACCACATATTAGAATTTTCATTAAAGCCAATAGGTCTCGAGACAATTAGTACGATTACTCCACAATTGCTGGATGGTTAAGGTCAAGCTGAATATAGAACTGAAGAGGTGGAGATTGATATCAGGAGAGAATTGGCGGCTGAGGAGGTGTGTACAGACCAGATTGGAGGAGGAGGATTGCAGGGTTATTATACAGACGATGATGGTGATGATTTGGCTGAGGAATCTGGATCTGATTCTTCATGCATATCATATGGCTCAGTTGCTCAGGATGCTGATTTTGTAGCGTTCAGTTAACACTGTGTGGCATGTATGGAAATTCCAATATATAGTTAATAACTAGGCGTATATAAAGCTATTAAAATTCAATATGTTAAGAAGAAAAAGAAAAAAGGTTGGGCGTCACACTTGCTTTTCCCGACTATTACATCAGGCTGCAACTTTTCAATCGATTGTATCTCACTATTAAGGCCTCCAATCGCTTCAAAAGAAAAAAAGAAAAAAACCTCCACAGTGTTCTTAGTATTCCAGTAACCTATGTGAAGTGTATAGGGCAAAGGTCGAGTTACCGGTATATTCACTTCTATTGAGGTGCAACAATGAGACTTACAAAAGAGTGGATTGAGAGAATCTTGGAGAACAGAGAAAGGCATATGAGTGTGGGAATAATGAGCGGGAAAGAAAGGCAAAGTGCATGGGCCTTTATAGAGAGAGAGTCGGCGAAAAACACATGTGCTGGTGAAAGAGAAAAATACTCGGAACATCACAAGATGATAGAAATCCGCCGCACTCCCTAATCATCAAACACTACTAACGTGAATCCAGTGTAGATATCCAGTGTCTGCTCCCGTCTGTTTCATCCCTGGACAATCTGCGTCTGCACTACACAAGGTCGAGCCGATACATGTTTCCAAAATACCGAAGGTTGCTGCTGAGGTCGTCTCCCACTATCCCCAGCCATAGTGCGTTTCGACAACCTAGAGGTTTTTTTTGAATGAATATTTTAACGTGGCGGAGGCGTAGAAAAGTTTTTTTAAAATGGTAACGGACACGCGCAGGCTTTGGTGGCGAGAATCGTTGCGAGTGGGTAACCCAGTCGGTTGGTTCACGGGGCATCACTCGCCTAGAGAGCCCAGTGCGGACGCCTGAAGAAAAGGGCGATCCGCCAGCCTATACGTAGTTTTACATACGTAGTTTTACTAGTGTTCAAAGGGTTACCGAATACCAAGGATTACTTCCGGCGGCGAAAAGCAAAAGCAAACACTATGCCTCTCACTGGTCGTAGAGCATTCAAATCGACATATCCAACCCCCCCCCCATCTGAGAGGTACATGTAGTCCTAACACCTGTCCGATCGTCTGAGTGCAGGACTGGCTGGTCCATGGGCTAGAAAGAACCCCCCCTCTCTCTTTTTTTTGAGCCATAGGGGCCAAAGCTCTACATGCCAGGCCAGACGGACCATACTGGCCGTTTGTATGACGATGCGGACCTCCGCAGATTGGCCGCCGTCGTCATGGCGGTCCTTCAAATTGCCGCGCCTCTCGCGCTTTGCTCGTCGGTCTATTTCGCCACTGCTCAAGTGGGTGATTCTGATCTTGGGATGTATCCGAGGTTGGTATTTATGGGTGTTATAAATCGTTTGGGAAGACTTGCTCATGAGTAGGAAATGAAGCAGGGGGGACGCTGTATGCACGGGTATGCGACGGAGCTATTGGGTTTTTTTATCCTGTTAGTATATAGACCACCACGCGGGGTTTTTTTCCTGGCGGGTATTCACATTCGGCGCTTCTTGCCTGCTGCTCATACAAAAATTGCTTTGGGATGCCGTATCGCTTAACGAACTGTATAAAAACGCGGCCGCTCGTGACTCTCTGCCCACTCCGCTGGATCCCGGGCCGGGCGAGCGCGGGGATGGACCATTTTTCCCAGGGCGCTTGACATGTCTGCTCGCCTTGGTGTGTTAAAAGGGTGGGCGGTGGACTTGCGGTTATATACTTACCCCCCCCAACATCTACCATGGGTTATTGTTTGTATGAAATAATCTTTATCCCTGAGATGGGGTTGGGTAACCGGTCGAAAGAATTCCCTTTTTCTGCAGGTTGCGGATAACACTTTACGCCTCACTCTAAGATTCGTGAACACAAGTATTACACGTCACTTTCTCCAATTTTCCTGGTTGGGATGTAGCGATGGGGATTCGCTTCGGGGTCGGTCTGGGTCTGGTTGTATCCTTATGGGCATAAATACCGGCGTTCGGCGCTGTAGAGTACACGAGCACTATCAGGGTCCCACTCAAGACCTTTCTCCCTTGCTTGCCTTCCCCCCGCCCTTCTAGAGTTACCATACAGCGCTTTAGCCGGCGACAGAGGTCTGCTCTTAGCAAGTGGGGAAGCGCGGCGATGGCCCGTGCGCGCAGGGGACCGCTGATGAGATCAGTGTGATAGATGTGGCATTCTCCTTTTCACCCACTACACGGTATAATGTGGAGTAGCAGTTTAGTAGCCTGGCCCCGCTCAAGACTCCGAATATAGGCCCTTGCTCGCGTGGTTTTGTATCTAAAATGCCCCCCCTCTATGCTTGCGTTCCGTCAGCCTTTCCAGGGTTACCACGTGTCAGGCGGGCGGTGGGGATAACTCCCTGCAAGCAAGAATGAAGGCGTAATATGGAGTTGTGGGCATAGGGCAGTGGCCTTAAAAGATGATCCTGGAAGCAAACGGTTTCATTGGAGGATATAATAATATTATAATAATAATACTATCATGATAATAATATTATTATAAAAAGAAAGACACACCACAAACAACCCATAGCCGACGCCCCCAAATCCCTGAATCCCAATCAGAGTGTCACAAGCCTCCTAGAAGGGAGTCTTGACGTTAGAAAGTTAGCATAGCAGATACAGAAAAAACGACATGGCCGCGAACTAGTAGACCTATCGAAGGAACGACGGAACCCCACCCAAATACCCATCATAGAAACTTAATCTACATGTTAGGAAGGTATTTAAAAGTTGACTAGGAGGAAGCAGGGTACAATACAAACTGGTCCCCAGACTAAAACTGGAAGGTGAATGGCACCCCGGATGGAGTGTATCTGGTGCCCCGCGGATCAGGTGTATCTGGGATGCAAAACTACGGCGGGTTCGATAATGAGATTCTGCAATGAGGGTGGGGGTGGTAAACAGGAACGGCTTACTTGCTATAAGAAGGTTACTAAACATCCTCTGTAGAGAGAGTTGGTAGTAATTGAACGATATTACAAACTCTCTGAGATTGCACGAATGATTGCGAGGCGCACTGTGGGTTAGTCGGAGAGGTAGGAAGAGAGTGGGGGGGTTTCCGAACAAGCTGCGGCGACATGCCGAGCGAATATTAGTGAAGACTGGCAGAAGAGGGATAGGATTTGCATACAAACTAACACAGACAAGAAGTAATTAGTTAGTGTGCTAAAGACGTGCGATAAAGAGACTTGTGATGCTTACCTCCTGTTGAGGAAAGCGACAGTAAAGTTAGTCAGGAATCAGGGACACCAACAAGAACCATAAGGGGTGTCGTCACATACAACCTGTGAGAGCGAGAGAGAGATATCAGTAAAGTAGGAACAACAAGCGATAGGCACGTGCAGGTCCGCTTACAGCCTAAAGGAAGAATGGAGCAGAGTATCAGGAATTGCCTTGTCCATGGACCATGGTTGAACCTGTTCACTTACCTCCTACAACACCCAGTGAGCTAGAGGTCAGCAATTGCCCCGTCCAAGAGCCGTGGTTGATCCTGTTCACTTACCACCTAGAACACCCAGCAAGGCAAAGGTCAGCATTTGCCTCGCCGAAGACTCGTGGCATATCCTGTTCCCTTACCTCCTACAACGCTCAGCGAGCCCGAGGTCAGCAATTGTCTCGTCAAAGAAACGTGGTTGATTCTGCTCACATACATACTACAACACTCAGCGAGCCCGAGGTCAGTAATTTCCTTGTGCTAGAGCCGTGGTTGACACAGTTTGTTTACCCGCTACAATACTCAACGATCCAGAGGTCAGCAATTTCCCTGTCCCAGAACCATGGTTCTCTCACTTCCTACAGCACCCAGCGAGCTAGGGGTCAGCAATTATCTCGTCCTAGTCTCTCAGAAACGTGTTAGATCGTGTTCGCTTACTCGCTAAAACACACAGTGAGTCAGGGGTCAGCGGTTTCATGAGCTTTCTTGGCCTCAGGGTGAGGGCCGATCTTGCTCACGTACAAGCTACGATACTCGATGAACCAGAGTCAGGAATTGTCTCGTCCCAGAACCGTGGCTTATCCTGTTCACTTACAACCTACAACACTCAGCGAGCTCGAGGTCAGCAATTTCTTCGTCCTGGATCCGCGGTTGACCCTGTTCACTTACTCGCTACAACACTCAGCGATCCAGAGGTCAGTAGTTCCTTGTCCCAGAACCGCGCTTGATCTTGTCCGCTTACCTCCTACAACACTCAGCAAGCCAGAGGTCAGCAATTATCTTGACTCAGAGCCGTGGTTCATCCTGTTTACTTACTTCCTGTAATATTGAGTGAGCCAGAGTTCAGCAATTGTCTCGCCCAGAACCAAGGTTAACACTGCTCACTTACCGGCTACATCATTTAGTGAGTTAGACGTTAGTGATCTTCTCGTCCCGTGACTGTGGTTGATACTGTTCACTTACTCGCTACAGCACTCAGTGAAC